CAGGAATACAAAGGAGTGCTCTGGGTGGGGAAGAGGACAGCTGAAGCAAGTCAGGTGGGGTAGTAGGTGGCAGGATCTGCAAGAGGTTGCTGCAGGGATGAAATGACTTGATGCAGGTAAGTTCTCAATACCGAGTCTGCCTATATAGTATGTGTTCAACCACAGCTAACAGTTCTAAATCGGAGCCTGTGTGGTTCCAGAGAACAGAGCTTCAACCACTGGGTTTAATTGTTACAGGGAGGTGTTCTTTCATTTTGAGAACCTTCTAACTTGCAGAGCAACCTGGGGGAGTGGTGGATTCCCTGTCACTCAATGTATACAGCAGAGAGAGGGAACATGTGCAATGACAGTGCTGCCAAGAGACTGGTGGTGGGCAGAGGTGATTCAGACCATTGAAGGTAGTGGGAGAGGGACACGATGGTGTTGTGACTGGGCATTACCTAGTTATAGCAAGATGAGGAGACAGGTTTTAAAGAAATTCCTGATTTGGTTAGGACAGACCTGCAAACAGATAAGAGTCATATAGCTTGGAGAAGTTCTAAATAGGCACATTAGTTATATTAATCTTAGTTGAGCCAGGGAAAAGTGTCAACATCCAGGGGCACTAGAGCTGATGCTGGGGACGCAGTAGGTGTGGGTCCATGTGAACAGGAGGGAAAATACAATCTATGTAGAAGGACTTCATGTATAAAGCTAAAATGTGTGAAAGTCTAGAATACTTGGAGTACCACTAGTGTTGCTCTGGGCAAATGGCTTCTCTTCCCTACCTTATTTTTCCTGTTTGTAAGATGTGCATAGAAATGGCATCTACAGAGTAGGGGACGGCGAGCAATAAGTGATGTAGTCACAGTTAATGTCAAATCCCATTGGGAGTGTTCTTTCTCTTGTGTTTATAAGTAACCCTTCGAGATAGAATATGGTATTTTCCCCCCATTTTACAGATAAAGAAGTTGAGTCATAGGGAATTGAGTAATTTACCCAAGGTCATGTAATTGATGAGAAGCATAATTTAGATTCATGCCCAGCTCAGCTTGAATCCAAAAGTTGTACTCTTTAATTTTTTTTAAGATTTATTTTCATTGTAAAGTCAGATTAACAGAGTGAAGCAGAAACAGAGAAAAAAATCTTCCATCCGCTGGTTCACTCCCCAAGTGGCTGCAACGGCCAGAGCTGAGCCGAAGCTAGGAGCCAGAAGCTTCCTCAGGGTCTCCCAAGCAGGTGCAGGGTCCTAAGGCTTTGGGCTGTCCTCAACTGCTTTCTCAGGCCACAGGCAGGGAGCTGGAAGGGAAGTGGAGCAGCTGATACACAAACCAGAACCCATATGGGATTCTGGGTGTGCAAGGTGAGGACTTTATCCACTAGGCCATCATGTGATGGGCCCAAAAGTTGTACTCTTACCCACTAAGCTATAGCATGTCCTTAGCATGCAGCTAGTATTTGATAAGTGGTAGCCACAGCAGTCATGATTGTGAGTTTCATATTCGGTGAGCTATGGTTCTGTCATTGCCTCCACAGCTGGCTGCAGATCCCCCATGCTGCTATCTCATCAGCAGCAGGCGCTATTTTTGTATGACCCTCATCCCCACAGCTCGACTCAGACAGCTGCACCGCCTTTCACATAGTTGCTTTTGGAAACCAAAAACGAAGTGCGATTTTTATCTTCTCAGAGGGCAAATATTTCTGTGGAGGTGTAGTCAACATGAGGGAGGAAGGGCTGGGGTCCCTGCATTCTTCTGAGATCTGTGGGCTGAACTCAAACACCCCAGCTGCCCACACAAGAGGCAAGAGCAGCAAACCAGCGAGCAAGTGCGAGAGGAGTCATCCGAGTATCAGGGGCCTGAGAAAGAGTCTTTTCCACGTTGGGGTGTAAGGGAAGCAGAAAACTCTAAAGATCTGTGAGGTCTCTCCTATTACTTCACTTAACAAACACTTATTAAGGGCCTACTATGTGCTGGATTTTCTCATTTAGTGCCTGGAGATAATCACTGGCTACTGTAGTGAGGAAAGCTTTTTCCTACTAATGGAAAGAGACGGACCATACTCAGATAACAAGAGAAGTACATGTATAGGCACAAATGCACAGGCAGTACAGGAAACAGCTCTTGATTGAAGAGGCTGCCTGAAAATGAGTCTTCCTGTGTTGATAATAAAAGCTCTAAATTTTTTTTAAAGATTTTTTTTAAATTTATTTGAAAGGTAGAGTTTCAGAGAGAAAAGGAAAGACACAGAGAGGTCTTCTATCTGCTGATTCACTCCCCAAATAGTCACAATAACCAGGGTTGGGCCAGACTAAAGCCAGGAGCCAAGAGTTTATTTTGGTTCTCCCATGTGGGTGCAGGTACCCAAGCACTTGGGTCATCTTCCCATGCTTTCCCAGGCACATCAACAAAGAGCTGGATCATAAGCGCAGCAGCCAAAACTCAAACTGGTGCTCCTACAGCATCCTGGTGTCACAGGTGGCAGCTGTCAGTCCTGTGCAAGGGGTCTGATTGCCTCCCTCAGTCATGAAAGGCTAGGACTGCCAACCCAAATCCATGGTCTTCAAAGGAGGGTTTTTTGGGGTTCATGGGGTGAGGCCAATCATGTCTTGCTTCTGGTTCTGATTGTGCCAGATCTTTCTTTAAGTTGATATGTGAAGTTGAAGTTGAAGTATCTTTGCAACAGTGTCCCCATGAGTTTTGTCTTAATTACTCAATTAATATGACAGGAACACAAGCAGTCAAACTGAAAAGAAAGAAGCTAGTCTCTACTCAGTTTGCTCATGGAAAAAGCTTTCTGGGTCTGAACCACACACTTTTTTTAAGTGTGTGTGGGCAAGCATAGTCACATTAGTGTGTAGACAGATAGTATTTTCATGATCATGTATTTTCTTTCTTGTTGCTACATAAAATTGTACCCAATTGTATATATTCTCTCAACTAGATGTACCATGGTTTAACTACTGTTGGAAATTTAGCTGTTCACAGAACTCCGCCATTATAAATGACTTTGTAATGAAAAACTTTATTATATGCATATTGCTCTTTAGAACTCAAGAGTCTTTATCTCATAAATCCATCTACAGTCCTCACCAAGACTCTGTAAATCGGTGTATCATATTATAGGTGAGGAAGCTAGGGCTGGGGTGCAAGACCCAGAGGTTAAATAGCCACTTGGAACTCATGTATCCCATATTGAAATACTTGGTCCAAGTACTGGAGCATGCCTTCTGATTCAGCTTCTTGGTCATGCACACCCTGGGAGGCAGCAGGTAATGGCTTAAACAGGTGATGGCTTAAGACCTCTCTACTGCTCATGTGGAAACCTGGATTGAGTTCCAGGTTCCTGGAACTATTACAGGCATGTGACTGAGGAGTGAGTCAGAGGAAAAAAACATCTCTCGCTCTACCTTCCAAATAAAAATGAAAAGCAAATAAATTTTTAAAAAAGAGGAAATTAAAGCATGTGATCTTATTCCTTTTGAATTATTTATTCAGTCTTATTTCCTGAAAATATGGTAACTTGTTTAGTAGTCATGAGCTCTTAATTCTGTGTCCTGAATACTTTCTAGAAAGGTTTAATTAATTTCTACTGTTCTTGTGAACGTGTGCCATTTTTATTGCTGCCTGTTCAGCAACGAGTGCAATCATTTTGAGAACGATTGACTAATGTAAATCTTGGAAAGTTCTATCTTAGAATTTGAGTAAGTTCTTGGAGTTCCTCTCAAAATTTACCATAATGTCACGCTTGTTAACTGTGTTTTCTTCCTGTGCATGTGTGATTTGTCTGTTCACATTGATTATTTTGGAAAGTCTTACTCTGCTAATCCTTTTTGACCTTAAATCTACACTTGATCTTAGCCAAAAGGCTGAGAAGTGATTGTACCTTAAATCTAATTAAGTATTTTATAAATATTTAATTTTCATAAATAGATTTATAAATCTGTTAAGAATTAAGTATTATTAATTATATTTTAATATTTTTTGTCTTATTAAAAATATTTATTTGAAAGAGTGGCAGAGACAGGGGGAGAGACTGGTCCGGGGGAGAGCCGAGACAGCAAGCGATGTCTTCCATCTGGTAATTCACTCCTCTAACAGCCAGACAGGGCAGGGTTGGACTGAAGCCAGGAGCGAAGAACTCCATCTGAGGTTCCTACACGGGGACTGGGTGTCCAGGGACCTGAGCCATTAGCTGCTGCCTTCCCTGGCATACTAGCAAGAAGCTAGATCAAAAGCAGGGTAGCCAGGACTGGAACTGGCTCTTAGTGATGAGATGTAGGTTTTGTAAGTGGCTGCTGAATCTGTTTTGCCACAGCAGTAATCTCTAGTTGTAGTGTTTTCTTTGTAAAGAAGTTGTTATTTTCTTGTGGTTGAATCTGTCAAATGTTTTCTTTGCTAATTTTCTACACTGTATGAAAAAGCAGAAATAGATGACACATATAAAAGTATGCTTTCATAATAATTCCAAGAGTAATCCATATGTATTTTGAAAAATTTGGGATATACATAAGGTAACAAAAAAAATTAAAGCATCCATTATTGTACTGTCCTGGGTGGCCTTTCTCCTCTCTCTCTGATTTATGTATTAACTGTATTTTTCCCCTGAATTTAGGTAGTATTGAAATCTATTACACTGATTGAGCTTTCTTGTACCATTAAATATCCTTTGAAAAAAAATTGGGAAATTATCTTGTTTATTTTGGGATTAATCTAATTGCTTTCTCTTGATTCCTAAGCCAAAGATAAAACAGCCTTTATTTATTTATTTTTTTTGAGTTGGTTGATACACACTTCTTGATCCTTGGAGCACATTCTTACCTAGCCTGTCTCCCATTGATCTATTTCTAGTCTCTCTAAACTGTTCACAGATCCAGGGCATTGCGTACCTACAATAGGCAAGTCTCTCTGTGAGCCTTTAGGACCTCCTGGGTTGCACTTCTCCCTCGTGTTAATGTTTAACCCAGCTTCCGCTAGAAAACAGCTGTTACCTCTTTTCTTTATTTTTTTTTTCCTTTGCAGATGTTTTTGGATCATCCTGAGAGAAATGAGCCTTGGCCTCCAGATCCAGTAACGAGAACCTGTCTCCCATGGAGAGTTGTACTACTTCCTGAGGACCAGGAGGGCCTGCAGCCCACAGGGAAATAAATCGCCCAGAGCAGGTAAGGGGCACATGGAAGCTTTGCCTGCAAACCATATTCCTCAGTGAAAAATTGAGCTGTAGCATTTTTCTGCAAGTTTTGGTTACAATTTGTTGACTATAGCTGTGCTGTTTTTTTTTTTTAAACTATGCATTTATCTTATAGTACTCTTTAAGCAATGATCCAGTGAAGGGTTGGGGTGAGTGGATTGACAATTCCACAATCTAAATATTGGATCCAAGTTATTCTCTAATTCAGTTGGCCTTTGTTGAGTATGTGCTCGATATCAAACCCTGGATTTATTTGGTACAGAGCCAATAATGCTGAGTAATTCCTCCCTTTGAGACTTTTCTGTCTTAGTTTTAGTGTTGGCTTGGTTTCCATAGGTGACAGTGTGTGTTGTTTGTGTGTTCTTCCAGAAACATCACCATGGTTGGAAGAAGTCATGCATCTAGTTGTGTTAGTTCTGAAATCCTTGGTGTCCTCTCTCTGTGTCTCAGGTGCTGTGCTGGGTACTGGGGTTTCAGAATGACGCCAAGGGAAGTTCTCCAGCAGTGATTCAGGCAAACAAAACAAGCATTACCAAGCCTGGTTTGTGAGCAGCAGGGAGCAGGGCCCTAAAGGGGCCTAAAGGGGCTAAAGGGAAGGTGAGCTCCAAGGAGGCAGAGCAGAGAAGTGATGCTATATATAGGCAATTGGAGAATGAATGAGAGAGAATGCAGCAGTCCAAATGCCTAGAAGCTTTACAAAATCAACCTGGATGATTAGAAAGACTCAAAGCTTGGTGTATTTTTCCAAAGAATTTGTGGAACAAAGCTTGTTGTGCTTTGCTTCAGTTGGGCTGTATAGATGAAGCTTCTTCATTCTGTCTCTAGAACAACTTGAGCAGAAGAGTGGGTCCTATGTGCCTCTCTCTAGAAACTCCTTCCAGTTGGTGGACTTGGAGACTCAACCCAGGAGATGGTGAGGAACCAAACAGGTCTTCCTGCTCTGGAGTCTTAACAGAGCACACGCTATGAAGGCTGGGCACCCCAGGAGCTTGCAACACTGATATTGGGCTGTCTGTCTGGGGAATCTGTTCTTTCCTGAGAAACTCACCTTACAGAGCAGGTGTGGACAGGAAGCCAACATCTACACTTGATTGATCACAGCTCCTTCCTGCTGTCTCCTTTCACTCACATATATGAAAATCAAGAAAAAAGACGCTCGCCCTGCCCCCATTTTCAAGTTACTCATGCAACTTGGGAAATTACTTCCAATTCCAAAACTTCCCTTTCTGTGATTACAAAGTTAATAAAGTCTGGTTACCTCACAGGGTTAGAGTGGGTCTCACGAATCCTAAGCAGAAGGAAAGGGCTTCCCAAGTGTTGAAACAGAGCGCCCTGGTGATGGCTGGGGCGGGACCGATGGTGAAGCTGGCTTTTCTGCCCCTGTCTGATGGAGCATTGTCTCTGGAGATTCTGATTTTTTAATCCAGTTTTGTCAGTGCTGACTCTACACTGTTCTTCGTCACAGGTCCCTGCCCCTTGGTGGGAAGACCAGGAACTTTTAGAGTTAAACAGATGTAGCTTGGAATCCTAACTCCACCACCGATTAGCTCTTGACCTTGGAGAAGCCTTATGACCTTGCCAAATTTCCTTTTCCTTTTCTTTCTTTTAAAAAGATTAATTCATTTATTCATTAAAAAAAAAAAGGAGTTGGTGGGTGGTAAAGAAAGATCTTCCATCCAGGGGTTCAATCCCCAGAGGATCACAATGAGTAGATCAGGCCGACGCCAGGAGCATCATCCAGGTCTCCCTCCCACATGGGTGGAAGGAACCCACATACTTTTACCATTTACCACTTTCCAAGGTGCAGTAGCAGGGAGCTGGATCAGAAGTGGAGTAGCTGAGACTTGAATTGGCATCCATATGGGATGCTGGCATTGCATATATTAGCTTTACTAGGTATGTCACAATGCCAGGCCCGTCTTCATTTTCTTTCTTTTCTCCTTCCTTCCTTCCTGTCTTTTTGTTTTTCTAACATTTATTTCTTTTCATTGGAAAGTCAGATATATATATATATATATATATATATATATATATATATATATATATATATAGAAAGAGAGAGAGATCTTCCATTCACCAGTTCAGTCCTCAAGTGGAAGCAAGAGCTGAAATTGAGCTGATCCGAAACTAGGAGTCAGTAGTCTCCTTCAGGTCTCCCACATTGGCACAGGAGCCGAAGGACTGCATCTATCCTTATTGCTTTCCCACCCAAAAGCAGGGAGCTGGATCAAAACTAGCACTGATATGGGATTCTGGCACCCCAGGAAGAGAATTAGCTTGCTATGCCACTATATGACCCCCTTTCTTCATTTTCTTTTTTTTTTTTAAGATTTATTTTATTTTTATTACAAAGTCAGATATACAGAGAGGAAGAGAGACAGAGAGGAAGATCTTCCATCCGATGATTCACTCCCCAAGTGAGCGCGATGGCCGATGCTATGCTGGTCTGAAGCCAGGATCCAGGAACTTCTTCCGGGTATCCCACACGGATGCAGGGTCCCAAAGCTTTGGGCCGTCCTCGACTGCTTTCCAGGCCACAGGCAGGGAGCTGGATGGGAAGTGGGGCTGCTAGGATTAGAACCGGCGCCCATATGGGATCCTGGGGCGTGCTCAAGGCGAGGACTTCAGCCACTGCGCCACTGTGCCGGGCCCCATTCTTCATTTTCTAAGATAGGGTTGCCATACTCCCTCCCCTTGTGTTCTGAAGAGTCAGTGTGAACTGCAGGTAAAATATCTACTGTGGAGTAGGCCCTACATACACTGCCACTTCCCTTTGCTTCTAGTTCTGCAGCTGTCACGTGGTCATGTGGTTCATGCTGTTGACTCTAAGAGGAAACTGAATGCCTTGATTTTCAGATATTATCACAAGCCCTGCTACCTCCCCGATTGTGATCTTAGGTCTGAATTCTTCATCTTGTGTGTGTATTTTGCCACTTTCAAAATTTCAGCAGCCCAAGGTAGGAACTCGTTCTAGTTACTAAGTTCCGGGACCATAGGAGATAGCACTTTGGCTAGGAGCCCAAGAACCTCATGAACATCAGTAAAATAGAATCTCAGGTAAGGACGCTGCATTCAAGCTGAATAGTGGTGCCAGTGCTGCACTCTGTCACGTTTCACCCTCCACCTAACCCCCAGGCTAGGGGGCTGCTTCTCCTTCTCTGCTCAGACCTTCTCCTGTCTCTTTGCATTTACCTAGTTCAAAGCCTGTTACCAACATCCTTCCATTTGAATGTCTCAGCACTCTGTGAGATTTACCTACATAGATATTGACTTCCTCAAGATCATCAAGAATAAAGACAAGACTTCAGATTTGTGAATCCCCAGCAAAACACCTTTTTTTTTTTTTGCTCTGATATCTTTAGATGCAGACACCACGGGAAGGCACCTTAGACTGCTTACTGGTAGATTATTGGTCCTCTGGTAAATGAAGGCAATTGCTTTGTCATATTACAGTAAATAAGGCTAGTGATCGGGAAAGAATTTGTTTTCCAAAAGGAAAAGATACTGTTTGAGTTCAAAGTGCTCTCATCTTGCATTCAGTTACACAATAAATTCTGAGAAAACAAAGTGGGTTTTTACCCAGAGGTAAAGGCTCTATTTGCTTTAGTGTAATTTGTTTTCCAGAACTTTCAGCAGTTCAGCACATGATACAGAGGAGAGGACATGGGTTATGGAATTGAGTGCCCTTGGATTTCAATCTCTGTGCAGCCATTTGAAGTCCTAGGCATTCCCTTAATATCTCATAGTATCAGGTTGCTAATGCATAAGAATGGAGATTGTAATTTCATTCTCATGATTTACGACTGGTAATGACCACGGCCTCTTTGGCCAGCACAGGAGGTGCCCGTCATATTAGACCATGATGGGTATGGTGCTCCCTGGAGCTGCACATCACACTGACTCTGGATAGGGTAAAATTGGAAATGGTAAAATGCAAAAACATCTAATATGCCTAATACATTTTTGTTTTAATTTCGCTAATTGGCTACCTCTCTGGCATTACTGAGATTTCCTGTTTTATATCACTGGATTGCTTAGTTTTCTTTTATTTCCCTAATTCCCACCCCCTCTCTTTTTTTTCCCTCTTATTTTCTTTTTAATGAACATTTTTTTTATTATTTTTATTACAAAGTCAGATATACAGAGAGGAGAAGAGACAGAGAGGAAGATCTTCCATCCGATGAATCACTCTCCAAGTGAGCGCAATGGCCGGTGCTGTGCCGATCCTGAAGCCGGGAACCAGGAACCTCTTCTGGGTCTTCCATGCAGGTGCAGGGTCCCAAGGTTTTGGGCCGTCCTCGACTGCTTTCCCAGGCCACAAGCAGGAAGCTGGATGGGAAGTGAAGCTGCCAGGATTAGAACCAGTGCCCATATGGGATCCTGGGCGTGCTCAAAGCGAGGACTTGAGCCACTAGGCCACGCTGCTGGGCCCTTCCCTCTTTATTTCTTATATAGGACACTACACAAACTAGAATGTCATATCATGGAGCTAATGTTGACTTTTCTTCGCAGAAAGTACTTTAAAATCACAGCTCTCAGAGCGGTGCACCACAAATTGAAGGCAAGAGGTCTTTTTATGATTTTTTTTTTAAAAGGATCCATGACCTCTTGAAGAGGTACACTGATCAGGCTGCCCCCTCCTTTGTTCTGTTGTTTTCAATCATACCTGCCTTCATTTATCAGAGGATCACCGCTTCTGGAAGCAGATACTGTATAAGATGTAGTTCCAGACCTCGGCAAGCTCCCAGCACACTCAGGGAGCTAGCCCAAGGCAGGCAGAAGTGACAAGGCTGAGCGTGGTAGTGGTGGAAGGATCCAAGAAGCTTCCGAGGGCTCAGAGATAAAGAGGAGAATGTCTGAGGGAATACTTGTGACATGTAAAGAACAAACTGAGTTTGAATTTGTTGGAGTTGTTTAAGATTGCAGAGTTGGAGGGAGGCAAACCAGGGTTGAAATCTGTCTCATTCTAGATGCATGGATCAGCTGGTTACCTCCCCAAAAGCCATGTGTGGATTTTTGTTGCATCATTTCCCTCCCACCCCCTTGTTTTTACTTTTGTAGGCTCGTTCTCCTGCTCAGAACGGAGTGGCTTTTCCCAACACATCTTTCATTATGATTCATACCAACCTGAAGAAAAAGCTGAGCTTCTTTTTCCTGGTTTTTCTCCTGTTTGCTCTCTTCTGTACGTGGAAAGAAAAGAAGAAAGGAAATTACTATGATTTTCTTAAGTTGCAAACCAAGGTCCAAGTGTTGAACAATCTGGAGAAACTGGCTCTGGGGTCTGGCTCCCAGTCTGCATCTTTAAGCAGCACCCAAAACCCCCTCAGGAATGGCCAGACCCTTAATAGTCCCAAGGGTTCTGCCAAGGCCAAACCAGAGGCTGCTTTCCAGGTGTGGAACAAGGACAGCTCATCCAAAAACCTTATCCCCAGGCTGCAAAAGATCTGGAAGAATTATCTGACCATGAATAAGTACAAAGTGTCCTACATGGGTCCAGGGCCAGGCGTGAAGTTCAGTCCTGAGGCCCTTCGCTGCCACCTCCGGGACCATGTAAACGTATCCATGGTGGAGGCCACAGATTTTCCCTTCAACACGTCTGAATGGGAGGGTTACCTGCCCAAGGAGAACATCAGGACCAAAGCTGGGCCATGGGGCAGGTGTGCTGTGGTCTCGTCAGCAGGATCTCTGAAAGCCTCCCAGCTGGGTCGAGAAATAGGTATGTTCCGAGGTTTTGTTTTTGTTCTCTGAACCTTGAGCGACAGCCCAGGGACAAAGATGCAAGTGTGGCTTGATGGAGCAGGAGTGCATGTGCCTGGCAGTGTTTCCAGCTGTCGGCAATGCTGTAGGGCAGCTGAAAGAGATGGGAGTGGGGATGGAGGCACATAGCGCCTCTATCAGGGAGGATATTTTTAAGCTGTTTCAGGATTGGTGTTCTGAAGATATTTTCATTTTGAAAAAGAGTTTTGCCACTATCAATAAGCAAAAGCAAACAAAACAATAACAATAAACTATCATTGATCTTTGAAAGTATTGAAAACATAGAGGTCTGCTGCACTTTCAGCTTCTGAAAATCTGTTGAAGGAAAGATCGTGTTGTCCTCCCCTAACAGGCAGATCTTCTGCTTTTCTCTTTGATAATTCCTGGAGTGGGAATTCTTAACTTGGGAGCTCTGGACCAACTGTGAAGGGTTTATGAGCCTTAAAATTGTATTCGTGGATGTCTGTGGATGAGGGGTGTGTGTGTAAGACTGTCTGTGGTTTTTCCAGAGACAGAGTTCACAGTTGAGTCTCAGAGACACCTGTGATTAAAAAAAAAAAATTCTAAATCACTGGTCAACATTTAAAGATAGAAGGTTGATCCACATTTGTAGACCTGTGCAACAGACAGCTATGGGTTTGCTTAGAGCCTTTTTTTGCTCTAATTTGGAGAGAATCTATTTTCCATCACTGTAAAATGAATCAGACTAAAACAAGCAAAGTGCAGGAAGCCTTGCTTCTCTGTCAGGCCAGAGGGACTGGAGCAGGTAAAGTTATTGGTCTCCATTTTTATTTCCTTCATGTGACTGCCAGGAAAAATGGTCTCAACCCAAGCACAGGCTCTCAAGGAAGAGAAGTTGACCCAGACTGGATTCTCTAGAGCAGAGAGAAGTGGTGAGATCACATTTTCTACCTCCCCAAACAGGCAGTGTTTACTCATAACAGCTGCTGAATGACCAGTTCTACCTGAATTAATGCTTTTGCCTTTTTAGTTTCTTATTCACTTTGTTTTCAAGAAACTAAATGCATTTAATTTTTGTTCATCCACAATGGAACTAAATTTCATTCTTTCTTCCCCATTTTTGCCACATAATAGCAATGTTTAGGCTATGCCAGGTGGTAGCTGTCCGTTCTTCTTCATACCAAGGTATCATTGCCATGCCTGGTTGAAATTATGTTGAATTTTGACACCTAGCATGAGAACTCTGAGAACTGTAGCTATAGTGTGGCTTTTATGCTAAAGGTTTCTAGTGATTTTTAAATAATCTGTTTTCATTTTTCTATTATTCATTTTAAAATTTTTATATTTTCATTTGAAAGGTAGAGAAAGAGGGCGGTTAGTCAGAGATCTGCTGATTCATTCCCTAACTGATCAATTCATCCAGGCCTGGGAGACAGGAAGTTAGGAGCCAAGAACTCAGTTCAGGTCTACTACTTGAGTGGTGGGCATCCGAGTACTTGGGCCATCACTGCTGCATTCCAGAGTGCATATTAGCAGGAAACTAGATAGGAAGGAATGGAACCAGAAATGTGTGTGTTCCAAGTGGTGTCAAGACCATTGCAACAAACACCTGCCACACCTTGCACTAATTTAAAATTTTTCTGTAGACTGCTATTACAATTTAAAATAAGTACCATGGAAGAACCTTGATCCTGGGATATAATAAGCGTTTGTTCTTAAATGTCATATTTTCTATCTTTTATAGAGTATATCTTCTATGTGTTTACTAACAGGCATGTTAAGGCATTCATTCATTTATTCTTTTTACTCATTCATGAAGTCATTCAACATTACAAAATAAAAGCTTAGAACATTAAAGGGAAATGAAAGGGAAACGCCTTTTATTGAATTCTGAAAATTTCAGGCAGCATGTCAGGGTCTAAGTCTTTCTACTATCTCCAGAATTTATTGAATTTATTCCCAACTATTGAACATATTAGATAATCTCAACTTGTTTGATCTTACAAATAGTAATACTAGCAAAGTTTTGTGTGATAACTTGAGAGACTAAACCTGCTTTTCAATGGGAGTAATACCCATACAAATGGGGGTTGAAAACTCAAATCTGCTAAGTTCTATGACTATTTAAAAATTTCAAAAGTTTATTTGAAAGGCAGAATGAGAGAGAAAGAGAGAGAGAGAAAGAGAGAGAGAGAGAGAAAGAGAATGTTCCCATCCACTTGTTCGCAATTTGCAATGCCTGGGGCTGGACCAGGCTGAGGCTGGGGAATTCAGTCCAGGTCTCCTATGTGCGTGGCAGAGACCCAGCTGTGTGATCTAGCCGCTGCCTCACAAAGTGCTCATTAAGAGAAAGCTGAGTAGACAGACATCGCAGTATAGCAAGTTAAGCTGCTGCCTGTGATACCAGGATCCTATAAAGACTTCACTTCAAGTCTTAGATTCTCTACTTCTGATCAATTCTCTGCTAATGCACCTGGGAAGGCAGTGGAGAATGGTTTAAGTTCTTGGGCCCCTGCATCCTCATGGGAGACCTGGATGAAGCACCTGGCTCTTGCTTCAACCTGGCCTGGTCCAGCCCATGCCATTGCAGCCATCTGGTGAGTAAAACATTGGGTAAACCATCTCTCTCTGTATAGCTTTCCTACTCTCTATAATTCTGCCATTCAACTAAACCTTTAAAAAAGGAGGATGTGAAATGGGGTGCGAAGTTGTGGAGAATTTTTGGGCAAAATTTTGAAATTTATACGTTGTTTTCATAATATGCATCTCCATGAATGTTTGAACAACCCTTGTGTATTATTTCTGATAGAATTCTTATTAGAAATAATGAACAAATAAGACTGTGATTTGACTTAACCCTATGACCTCTTGTGGCTTTTGTGCCATATCAAGTTGTGACCCTTCCTTGAACCTCAGGTTTCTGAATAGAAAGAACTCTTAGATGTTGTCTTGGATGTCACAATGATTTGCTTCCATTGCCAAGTGCCGCTTACTTTTCATAGTACAAAGGGGTAATTTGCACTGTTGGGATAAACTAAATATATGGTAGCATCTTCATTTTTCTGAAGGTCTAGAAATACAGGCCTCCTGGTAACATGAAAAGAATATCTAGTTTGCCAATTGATAAATGGAGCATGAGTGAGCTACTGAGTAGCTCATTGACTCTGCTCACTTGGTGTTAACCTTGGTGCACAGGTGTTGCTGAATGGATTTTAGGAATGTCATGATAGCCTTGGCAATGGTTAGTAAACAAATAATTACTTCTTCATATGAGCTTTGTCTAAGCACCAGACAAATATTTTCTCTGTGTATGATGATGGGTACAGATGGGGAAATATTATTTCCCTGCCCTTGCCTTCTTCTGTGTCTTGCTGTGTATCTCCAGGACTTATCACCTCTTTTGTGTTTCCTTGTGGTTTGTAGATGGTCATGATGCGGTTCTGAGATTTAATGGGGCACCCACAGCTGGCTACCAACAGGATGTGGGCACAAAAACTACCATTCGCCTGATGAACTCTCAGGTAAAAATTCTCCCAAGCAGATAGAGAGTGAGAGAAGAACCACCGTGTGTGTTGTGCAGCAGAATGCATCTACTGGGAGGACATCAGACATGCAGCTTAAGCTTCTTGGTGTTTCTGAGTTCTGGATTCTGCACCGGAGAAGGAGAAGACAGGGATTCCATGTCCCAGCCTGGTGATATGCTCACCAAAATCCCCTGTGAATTTAATCTGCACCCTATAATTTGTCTAATGCCTAGGGAAGCAGAAATGTGTTGTCCCCGTAGCGTAAAGGCTGTAGCTGGACTGTCATAGCAAGAACAGAGAATTCCAGAGGGAGAGTGAGGAATGTTATGAAAAGTCAACGAAATGTTACATGTAGCAGCTGTAAAAGTGTTGTTTAAAAAGCATAAGGTGTCATTGTTAGATTAGGTGTAATTCAGCATTAGAATTTGTGTGTAAACCCATGAATTCCCTTAGATAATTAGCTTCCTTAGGTACACTGAGGCAGTGCACACTGATTTCCCAGTACCAGTGAAATCTTCAGAAACAGTCTTGTCACTAAGTTATCTTAATAGATTTAATTTGTGGGTAAAACTGGATTGCAGATTTATCAGGATTGCACTGGAGGGCTGCACACCTGCTTGCCTCCATTGTGGTGTCTGGACATTTGCCTTGTCCTAAGTCAGCAGAGGAGTTCTGGGTATTTGGGGCAATGTTTAGTCTCTGTGTACTTTGTTAGGTCTTCTAGAAATGAAGTGAACCCTGGACCCCGACAGAAACCATCTTTCAGAGCTGCCCCCTCATAATGTGTATCTCTTCTCTGGCAGGGCTCCCCTCCTGTTCTTTCTCTGTACTTCCTGACTTCCAGGAACTCACCAGCTGGGCAGACTTGCTCCCTGCATAGCCTGGTTTTTATTGTAGGCCCACAACTGTAAGAATATTCCTATAATGAGACTAGGATTGAGGAACTTAACTTGTTTAAAATGGCCACCATCCTGCTTTTTGTTCTTCCTCTAATACTTTCTGCCTCTTAAAATAGAAAGAAAGAAGGAAAGAAAGAAAGAAAGAAAGAAAGAAAGAAAGAAAGAAAGAAAGAAAGAAAGAAAGAAAGGCACATTGTGTCAGTATAACATCCTCTAGTAGTCGCCCATTGTTTTGAGATGCTGATATGCCTATATATCATTCAATCTTACACCTTGGGTTCTTATATCTATGTTGTTTGACTTACGAGGTTTATACCTTGATAAACCCATTGTAAATTGAAAATATTTTTAAGTCAAAATGCACTTCATCCATCTAACCCAGCAAATATCACAGCTTTGCAACATGATGCACCATATAGGAGAGCTCCTTCCTTTCATGAACGCATGTCTGATTGTATGCTGTCCTGTATTGGGATAGAGTTAACTAACACAATAGTATCCTATTGCTAGCCTGCAAAAAGGCCAAAATTCAAAATGTGGAGAATTGTTCTGTAAGTGTGCTACTTTTTAAAAAAATGATTTATTTATTTTTATTGGAAAGGCAGATATACAAAGAGGAGACAGAGAGAAAGATCTTCCATCCTATGATTCACTCCTCAAGTGACCACAACAGCTGAAGCTGTGCCAGTCTGAAGCCAGGAGCCAGGAGCTCTTCTGAGTCTCCCACATGAGTGCAGGGTCCCAAGGCTTTGGGATGTCCTCGACTGCTTTCCCAGGCCACAAACAGGGAGCTGGATGGGAAGTGGGGCTGCCGTTATTAGAACCAGTGCCCATATGGGACCCCGGCACCTGCAAGGCGAAGACTTTAACCATTACTCTATCACACTGGGCCCAGTACACTACTTTTATGAAGTCTAAAGTTTGTATGTTGAGTAAGTTGGTGACTGTATTACTTTCACTGTAGGTAGAAGAAGGAGGTTTAAAGACAGGGATTGATTAAGCATGAGACTCTGGAGTAAATACAGTTAGTCTTTGAAAGATATGCAGGATTTGGAGAAATAGCAATAGGTGTGGGGAGCGGGGTGCTGAAGCCGCTCTGGGATTAGGAGGGGCCGTCACAAGATGGCGGCTGGCCCAGGGCCAGGAGGCGGGGTCGGTCTCGCCAGCAGGTAAATAGGAAGTCACAGGGATAGGCTGATGCTTTTGCTGATTACTGGCCTGTCACGTAGCGCCAGGTGGACCCACAGGGATAAGTGATTGGTGGAGAACAATATAGAAGTAGCCGGTAAAAGCTAGGCAGATGACAATGGACAGACGACAGGATGACTGCGACAGACAATGGACAGACAGACAGATAGATGAAGACGAGAAAGACTGCGGGGCAGGAAGAAGGGTGGCGGAAAAGAGACAGGGAAAGTACAGAAAGAAGAACAGGAGGAAGGGTGGCGGAAAGAGGGCCGGCCACAAAAGCAGGGAGGAAAGCTTAGACCAATGGGGACAGGAGCAGCAGAGAGAAGGATTTAAACATGGCCGCTTTTGGCAATAAGGGATCCGGCTGCGGTTCCAGTTTTTCCCAGACCCTCAGAGGGTGCCTCAGAGCGTGCCTCGTCGTTTTAGTATCACCACTGCGGGGCGGCAGTGGCAAATAGGGACACATTCAGATAGTGGAATTGGCAGGGCAAAAGTACATGAGGCCTCTAGGCAGGTGAACCTGCAACTTCATGGTTGCCTAGACTCTGGCCGGTCTAGAAGTTGGGCACAGCTTTGCCCCATTCTCGTTTTATGTCCCAGTTACAGAAGCTTAGCTGTCAGAGTGTGTATGAGTAACAGGAGAAGAGTGAAAGCTGCAGTTGTTTCTGACTCTTAAGACCAGCTAGAATCACTGAGATTGCTTCTTGGGGGTGATGGCTGAAGTCAAAGAGGAAGGTAGAGATATGAACTACACTACTCTGGTCCTAGGGATGACCAATCTGAACTATGTTCTGGATCTCCATGAAGAGATGTCAGGTAGACCTTTGTATAAATGTGGTTGGAGTTTAAAGTCAGGTCTAAACGAGTTGAGAATTAGTGTGTCATCTGTGTCTGTGTAGCAGTGAAACCATGGTACTGAATGGCTGGACCAGAGAAAAGTGGGTTGAGGAGAGGAGTCCCGTCTAGGAGCTTTGGGTAGCAAAAACAGAAGCAGAGAGTGGTTGTCTGTGTCGGATGCTTCTAAAGGGCCAGTTTAGATGAAGAGTCAATAACATTTGCTCTCTTTGGCAAAAGGGAGGCCCCTGGTGATCCGAGCAAACACTGAGGAGAGAGATGAAGCTGGAAGCCAGTCTGCAGTGTATCAAGTGGTGGCTAGGAAGAATGAAATTGGGGGTCAGTAACTCTGAATCTAATGGAAGGAACACTCTCTTGTGAGAATTGAGGATTTCAGGAGCAGTTTTTGTTCTTTTCATTTCCTAGGATTGGAGAGAATTGAATAAGCTTAGCATTCAGCAGAGGGTGGGATGGGAAGGATCCTGCGAAGATGGCAGAGTGGGAAGCACCCCAGCTTGCCTCCGTACCCGGACAGCCATTGCACTGGCAGAATCTGTCATGTGACTGTTTTGGAACTATGAAATCTGGTTGAGGGTTTGTAAATTCCTGGAGAGGGTTTAGAAGGTGAATTGCAGTTCATTTAAAGCTGTTATCACAGTAGCATTCCATCCCACCCCTAAAGTCTTATGCTGTGATCACTGGTTCCTAATGGCCAATAAGCATATGAAAAGATGCTCAACATCACTGATTGTTAGAGAAAGGCAAATCAAACTACAGTGCAATACCACCTGACTAACATTAGAATGTCTTCTGTGAAGAAAATTGCCATGATTTTTTATTGGTGGGAATATACAATGATAACTTTTATAAAATGATATGACAGTTCCTCAAAATATATAAAAATAAGATTACCATAAGATCTAGCAACTCCTCTGTTATGTATAGTGTTAAAAGAACCAAAAGCAGAGTATGAAGACATATTTGCCTACCCATGTTCAGGGTACTGTTAGTCATAATAGTTAAACTAGACACCCCAATGTCTATCAATGAATAAATGAGTGAGCAAAGTGTGGTGTACAAGTGTGATGCATATAATGAAATAACCCTTAGTCTTAAAGAAGAAGGAAGTTTTGACACATGCTACAGCATGAAGCTATACTCAGTGAAAGAAGCCAGCACAAAAAAGACAAATATCACAAAATCTCACTAGTATGAGTTACCTGGAATATGAGTCAAACCATAGCTACGGAAAGCAGAATGGTGGTTACTAAGAACTGCGGGGGAGGCAGAGGAGTTGCCATTTAATGAACACAGTTTCAGGATTGAAAAGATTAAAAAGAATTCTGGAGATGGATACTAGTGAAAGTAGTAAAACACTTTGAAAATGCTTAATACCTCTGAGCTGGACTCTTAAGCTTGGTGACATGGTCTATTTTAAATTCAAAATTAAAATTTGGAAATAATGTCAGTGGAGGAGACAGTCACAGAAGGACAAATACTGCAAGGTTTATATAAGATACTGGCAGTGGTCGCTTATACAAAAAGGAAACGGGGGGAGGTTTGGGGATGGTAGTGAGGGGTGTGTAACAAGGGACTGTGATTCAGTTTGGGAAGATGACAAAATTGCAGAGATGCAGAGATGGATGCTGGGACTGACTGTACCTTCCCAAATCCTAAGTGGCCGGGTCCCTTGCTTCCCAGCAGGGACAATGGGCTGCCTCGGTGCTCCTGGACAGTGCTCACCATAAGAGACACAGGACTTCTCTTCTGCTTATTTTCAGAAAACAGTAAGATTATGACTCTCATGCAAAGGCATCTGTGGTTAAGATTTTAATGTGCTCACATGAGAAACCAGGTAGAAATTAGAGCTAGTTCAGAGGAAAAGTCAAAACAGCATTAATGTGAGATAAAGGAATCAGGCTTGTTTTCCCATGAGATAGCAAAGGAGGAAGTCAGTCGATCGAAACTCCTCAGGGCTGAACTGAGTCAGCGTGTCTGTCGATTGCCCACAATGACAGAGAACTGTGCGATGGCTCCTGCAGAATCCGACTCTGAGTGGGAACAAGGTGTGCTACAGACATTCAGTTTTCCACTGAAGCACGCATTTTTCTTGTGCTTCTAGAGTTCTGTACCCCACAACAGGGCTGAGAGGAAGATGCTCCACTTCACAGGGAACACTGTCCACTCTCAAAGAAATCCTTTTTGTTGGCTTCGGGACATTAGCCCTTTTTCCTGGTCACCCTTAGGGAAGGCACTAAAGAGTTGGGCTATCTCTTTGATACTCTGATCATGGGCAGCTCCTTTAAAGCACTTGGGATTAGTACCTTTCCTTCATTGTGCTTTCATGATATCCTAGGATGCTGAAAGGCCATCCGCCCTACCTTCTAGTAATTATGCCACAATCTCGTGTCAGTGTCTGTGTGGGAGCAAAATGAGCCCACACCATCGGGCACTGCAGGCACCTGGCTGCCCAAAAGCACTGGAAGTGTGGTGCTGCTTGGGTGGAGTTCTGCCCTTGACCAGCACCTTCTCTTCATGGACGTGGAGCTCCTGCTACCAGCAGCCATATTCTGAGGGCAGCAAGGCCTGCCTTGCTCAAGATCCTCTTCCATACATAGCTCAGAGTTGTCTTTTGAGCATCTGAACAATGACGACAGCGTGGAGAACAAAAAGGGGTTTCTGGTTGAGAAGATGGCTTTTTATAGAGAACTGTGTCATATCAGGGTTTCAGCTCAGCAGACCTATTCAGGTCCCCCGTGCCAGGTGTGGTTCTGAGATGCAACAGGAAAAATTTTAAATATGGGGCTTTGATAATTTCAGTTTTGACTCTGAGTATAGGAAGGTTTCCGCGAATCTCAACTGAGCACCTGCTGTGCTCAGTGGGCCTGAGAGAGAGAAGACAATGACAAAAAAAAATATATATGTATATCGGTGGCTTCCTTAGAAGCTTTGCAAGAGCTACAGAGAGAAAACCTTGTTTGCTGTTTGCTTAGTGTCAGGACACCTGGCTTTGTTTGTCTAGTGAGAGGGCCTCCTGGCTGAACTTCAACCAGGTCATTTCCACATGACTTAATGGGGCTTCTCCTGAAATAATAGCTGGTCCCACTTTTTAAAATATGTATATAGTCATGCATTGCTTATTGATGAGGGCATATTCTGAGAAATGCATTGTTTCAAAGCACAGTGATTTGGCCATGGTGTAAACATTGTAGATTGTAAGACTATGGAATATGTGTATGTGTGTACGCATGTGTGTCTGTGTTCATACGCTTATCTTATAGCCTATTGATCCTAGAGACATGATCAGCAAAATCAATATGAGATTAAGTCAAACCCAAGGAAAAGTACATGTGCTGGACTTTTACATGACAGCAATCCTATACGGTTACAATGGAGCAGAAAAAAACCCTTTGCCTTGTAATGTTGCAGCACAATGCATATTTGTGTGTGTGGTTGTGCTAGTGTAAGCACAAAAACGGTGCTGCCAGTCCTGTAAGAGCCCAGCACACACAGTTCTACACAGTATACAGTACTTCATCATGACGATAAATTACTATGTGACTACTTTATCTGTTTGCTGTACCATACTGACTGTTGTGCCCACCCAACCGTGCCTTTACTGTCACACCATGACAGTTCAGCTACCCACTTTCCCAATCAGCCTGCGACTGCCTGCAGGCAGGAGCTGTGTCTTCCCTCTGGCTCCTTTACACCCAGGATGTCTGCACAGTCCCTGGCTGAGGTGGGTCCATCATTTTCATTTCTTGTTTCAAAGATACAGTGAAGAAATGAAGTTACATTCTTCAGGCTCTTGAAGATGTCCTACACCTGTAGCTGGGCTGGAGCTGGCTCCATTGGTCTTAGAGGCCAACCCAAGCCGTCTCCATCCTCTGGCTGTTTTCAGATGCTACCTTAAGTGGGTTAGCTCTCAGCCTGGGTGATGGTGGTCGAGGTAGGAGGGATTATAACTGTGATCATCTTGCTCTCTTGACTTCATCTATGAAGTCTGTGTCTATCAATTTTGTAAGGGTAATGTCATCTCCCATTTACCTTTTATTAAGGTAAAGACCTGACAGCTGACCTCATTATGCCAGGCTTGGCTTTCTTAAGAGGCATATGGTTTCCTTGTTGCTAAGCCTTAGGGTCACTGCTTTTGTATTTCTCATTCAATCTTGGCTCCCTTGTGATCTGGAAGCCCCTGCTGGAGAAATCAAAGCAAATTCTTTTCCCCTATTCACAGAAGAGAAAAGGGAAGGCCTGGAGATAACCTCCCAGTCACAGGAGAAGTTCAGCTCAGACTTTCTGGTATCCAATTCAGGAGGCTTTCACTTTCTGTTATCATACTTTCCTTGTTTTTGATAGGCAATTTAATCCACATAGTTTGTGTAGAATTTCCTGTATTCAGCTCTTTCCTTGACTTTGAATTCCTTGAATAAATCCCCCAAAATGGAATTATTGAGTCAAAGAATATAAATACAACTTTTAAAAAGGCTTGTGGCAGATTCTGGAAATTGTGCCTAGATGGTTGTCAAGCTCAAATGGAAGTCACATACCCATGGCTCTCTTAGCAGCCTGGTGAGGGTCTCCTGTTCCAAGATGCATCATGGTTTCATACACACACCACAGTCCCTTCATATGAGCCAACTACTTTCTCTGATGCTCAAACAAGACATACTCCTCTGATGCACTCTGCTGTGGGCTGAGAGAGAGAGAGAGAGAGAGAGAGAGAGAGAGAGAGAGAAAGAGAGAGAGATTGTGTTGGTCTTCCTCATGATGAGGACATTCTATATGCTGGACTTTCTAGTTGTTTGAATGGTTTTCCTAGCTCATTGTGGTTTTATAGGATTCTGACTTTAACCCTTACTACCCAGTCTCCCACAACCCTAAACAAGACATGATTCCATGACCTAAAACACCTTGCTTTTCTCAATATGCCCTTACTCCATGGGACCAGTTCTGCTATATGACCAAAATGTCCTCTCAGGGTAACAGAATTCAGGCTGCCATTTGTACCTGTTTGTTTGTTTGTTTGTTTGCTGATATGAAGCATTGCTCTATTCTGATGTGTCAGTTACAATTATAAGTTAAATGTTTACATGGAAGTCAAGTGACAGCTTGTCTCTTGCTCCCTGCAGCTGGTCACCACTGATGGGCGCTTCCTCAAAGACAGTTTGTACAAGGAAGGCATCCTAATTGTGTGGGACCCCTCTGTGTACCATGCAGACATCCCAAAGGTAAGTTTGTGTCTGTGGGAGACACACATTAAATCCTTTGGTTGTGTATTTATTTTCCTGAGCTCCTAAATTCTCAAGGTTCTGGGTAAGCTGCGCCAGCCTTTGAGGGCTTATTCTTTGAGTTGTAAGGTCCCCCATTATATCTGACCATGTAGACACAGATGTATTCCTGTCTCATAACAGCTGCCACCTATGCCCTGCCTGCCCTGCATTTACCTTCCAGTTACATTTTGTACCAGGAGTAATCACAGCTGGATTTCTCACCCTCTGGGCCAGATTGTGTTCACAAAGGCATTTATTCCTAATAAGCAAGAACAGACGGTGGTTACTTTTCTTATAAATAAATAATAGCAGCACATTTTGGTCCCATAGTCCCAGTTTCCAGAATTCTTAATTTGACTCATCTTAACAATAGGAGGAAGTAGATTGAAGCATTGCTTGCTTCCGTTTTACAGATAGGGAAACTGGAGTGAGAAGGGAACAGTCTGTCTGTCCTGGGATGTAAAGTACTAGGCAGAGGGCCCAGATCTGCATCATCTGTTTCAGGGAAGGAGATAAGAGTCACCGGTGTGCCAGTTGATCTGTTGCTGAAGGAGGCTGCAGTGGCCATTCGAACAAATGGCTTAAGGAGGATGGTCAGAGAGTACTCTTCTTGGGACATTTCTTCTTAAGCTGCATCCACTACTAGTTGAACAGTTTCCTGATGAACCCTGGTACCCTGACTACTTTGGTTTCTACAGTTTTGCACTGATTTCCCTTAGGTTTCAAATGATGAAGAAAACCCTACACTCACAGATATGGCAACCTGTGTTTCAATTTCGCTTAAGAAATGCATGATGGGACTAGAAGGTATCATGGTCCCTTTCAGTTCTGCTGCCATTCCTAGAGGCTGCATTCCTGAAACCTGAAGCTACTCAGGTTCCTCCTTAAGCTCCACATCCCTTGTAAGCACAGGTTACATGCTGTTCTCCCTCTGCTGTTCACAGAGATCTGTGGTATAGTGGGAAGTCTGGAATCTGCTTCAAGGGCTATGTCTTAGGATCCTTCTGTGGTCTTCCTAGTCCTCTTCTGAACATGACTGGGCAGAAAGAGTGTGTGTGAACCCTGGTGCATTTCTCCTCTTAAGAAAACACTGTCCTTCTGTTCCAGTGGTACCAGAACCCCGACTACAATTTCTTCAATAACTACAAGAGATATCGCAATCTGCACCCCAACCAGCCATTTTATATCCTCAAGCCCCAGATGCCTTGGGAGCTTTGGGACATCCTGCAAGAAATCTCCCCAGAAGAGATTCAGCCAAACCCCCCATCCTCTGGCATGCTTGGTGAGTCTGTATCTGGGGGCAGAGCATGTGTATGTGGTTCTAGAAGAGTTGAGTCATCTTCTGGGGTCTCATCCATTCATCCAGTCACAGTTCACCAAACACCTGCTAGGATTTTGCTAGACTAGTGTCCTGTGTGAGCAGTGAAACTCAGCTGGTGATGATGGTGGGAATGTATGGGGCAATAGGGTCGGATATGGGATAAGCTGGAGGCAGAGTGTAGGGAGTCCCAAATGCTGGCCAAAGCTCTCTTCTTGGACTTTTCCACACCTTCTGTCTGCCTTTCTCTGAGAGTTTGGCTGGCTCAATGAAACACTTTCCTATTGTTCCAGGTGCTGTGTGCATAGTGATAAGAGCCTCTCTCTAGGTCCCCACACTGCTTCCCACCAGATGGTCCCAGCCACTCTCCAGTGTGTTTCTTTTCTATCTCTCACATTAAACTATTGACTCCTTCAGGGTGGGGATTTTGTTTAACATTCCTTAATGGGTCAGACAAGGATTGGCCCTTGAGCAAATGTTCCCTGAGTCAATGAATAAATAAATGTTAATATAGAGCATACTTTTAATAGAAAGAGGTCAGGGAATCTTGTTTATACCCTTTTATGTACTCTTTGAGTGGGTGCTTCCTGGCACCCTTTGGAGTAGGAGTAGTTGGCCTCTGGAGGAATACACCTTTCCTTTGCCACTCTGCCTACCTTTACCGATACTGTAACCTCCATCATTAGTCCTCCCTCTGCACCCTCCATGTCCGTGGTCCCTTCCACCCCTCACACCAGTGCTTCCCAAAGGCTTCCTTGAGTATTCTCTCATGAGAATTGATGCTTCCTATAATTCCTGGGGGCAATACCTATGTCTACATCAGTGACTGATAGAACTGACTTTTCTCTCTCATTGAGCTAAGGGTACCCAGAAGTTTTCCCCATCCCTGATTTTTTACTAGAACAAAGTTGATAAAGGTGATTTACAGTTTCACTGTCAGTAAGAACTGCCCCATCATTGAGATTTCTTCTATGAGGATACTTCAAAAAGTTGGTTAAAAAAAAAAAAAGAAAAGAAAAAAGTAGGATTAGAAGATAATTTTGATTACAAATAAAAGTTGAAATGCACAGTTTTTCATAATACATATCCCTCCCAAATTTAAAAAATTCATACTTATATTGGGCAAAAAATGATCTTAGAGTCATGATGCTATTTCATCCTTATAGTGGTCTATGCGGTAGGTCATTTGGGGTAGGTACAAGCTTGGGCCCATGGAGGTTATGCACCCTGCACAAGATGACTCAGTGATCGGGGCCTATCCTGAGTGATAGCATGAGCCTCTTACCTCTTGTTTGGGCTATGTCACAGTGTTCTGTACCACCTCCCTTGAGGACAACTTCCACTCCACCCCACTCTCTCTGAATGAACCAAGTTCATCAGTGCTGACCGTGGGCTGCTCCTTGTCCAATTGTCTCTTCGCTCTACTAATAGAAGAAAAGTGTGGCTGCCCACACAGGTTCCTGCCAGGACTGGAAGAGACAACCTTCTTTCAAATTCTATCATCCAAGAGGCTCCTCCAGGATATAAATGTGCTTGAAAATGCTAGTTACACCACAGTGGCATTGTCTCAGTTGTCTTGTCCTCTTTCTCCATGGAACTGATTCCATTGATAAGTCATTGACAGAAGGGTGGAGCCTTGAGATTTGCTAGTGTTCAGGAAAGGCCTTTCAGATACCACACCTGAGTCTGGATCCTGGAGATATGAAGATCCATAATGCTCTTACAGCCCAGAGAACAATCTGCTGGGCTAGACCAAAGAACTCAACATGGGGATCACAGAAGTAAATAGAGACTTTAGTGTAAGTGTGGGGTCATAAGCTGCTAAATCCACAAGGCGTTCCTCATCATTGTTCCCTTCCACAGGTATCTTCATCATGCTGACGCTGTGTGACCAAGTGGATATTTACGAGTTTCTCCCATCCAAGCGCAAGACTGACGTGTGCTATTACTACCACAAGTTCTTTGACAGCGCCTGCACCATGGGGGCCTACCACCCACTCCTCTTTGAGAAGAACTTAGTGAAGCATCTGAATGAGGGCACAGATGAGGACATTTACCTGTATGGCAAAGCCACGTTGCGTGGCTTCCGGAGTATTCACTGCTGAGAGAGGGCAAGAGGCCAGGTCCTCTTTTTTTCTCCTTCATTAGGTATTGTGACTGGTTTGGTGATCATACTAGCCCACCCACGAAGACCATTTTCCAGGACTGTCCCAGCCTCCTGTTTTGCCCTCTAGGGGTCTCTGTCAGCAAGATCCTGGGATTTTAGGAACCTGGGGGAAGGAACCAGGTGTGATCTTCCCAGTAGGCACAGGGAGTGAGCAAGCCTCACCCCCTTCCTGTTCACACTGATGAGCCAACATTCTCTCCAAACATCAGCCTCCCCTCCTTCCACATAGGTGGATGCAAGACCTGCCATCTGTCTTTCTGCCAAGACTGCCAAGGCTTGCCTTTGTTTTGCCTTGTTCGAATGATGTCATGCTTGCAAACCAGTGCTCTGTGTGGCCAGAAGTCATCACCTAGATATTGATTTCATGTAAAAGAATCTTCACAAATTATGAATGTGTCAGATATAGGCTGACTCTACAGAGAAAGTAAGTGACACAGAGTACTAGAAATATGCCTGATTGTTTCAGAGAAAAGTTGCTGTCAGTGTCCTTGCCCATAACACTTGTTTCTATCACTCTAGGATAGTTGGGTTGGTCCCTAGCCTGTGTGCTTATGTGCAAATGGTTTTGATGGGCTCTACTTTGCTCTCAGGTGGAAAAAAACCGTTTAGAAAGATACAGCTCCAGTCTTGGAGTTGTTCATAGCTGAGTGGGAGAGACTGACATCTATGCAGGCTTTTGAGATTCAGTGGACTTAGTGTATGTGGGCATGTTGACAAAAGGTTGTGTCTATGAATTATAGAGCACTTCAGAGGACTAGACCATAAAGTGGGTCATAGAGAAAGAGAGAAATACATCAAGCAGGTTTTGACTTACTTGAGCTGTACTTTCCCTTCTTCCTTTATCAACTACATTATTGTAAAAGGCTTGCCTGGGCTTGTTCTTGGAGGTCATAGCCAGTCCTCACAAGGTGAGCAGTTACTGCGTGTGTTACTGGAGGTTACTGGCAGCATGTGGTGCCATTGGCATGCCTTCCACTTGTACAATAAGACAGCATCACCAAGATTCTCAAGAGGCCAGCCCACTATGGTTGGCAGCTGTGATTTTCAAATGATTTTACTAAACCCTCTTCCCACAGTGGATCCGTTACAGCCCTGGCATGGAAAGGTTAAACAACTTACTCAGGGTCACAGAGTAGAGCAAGTCCAGAATTCTCATACCAGTACTCCCAAGGCTGGCCCCACATGCTCAAGGAACTCATCTTGCACCTGGCTTATTCATTTACCGCTAAACCCTTGGTTTATGTGAGTAAGCGCACAGGATAGAGAAGTTTCAAGTTTTGCATTTGATGTACTTCTACTTAACAGATGTGCCATTTTGACAAAATTCTGTTCCCTGAGCCTTCGTTTCTACATCTGTAAGATGGGGTGATGATCCTACCTCACAGGGCTATTGTGAGGTTTACATGAAAGCACCTGTCCAAGTTCTGTACTAGCACATAATAGGCAGTTAATTCCCTTTCTTTATGAAGGACTTCACTGTGCTTATACCTGGGCTATTCACTGCTAGGAAGGAAGACAGGCAGGAAGTGGGTATCCCTATTGTGAGTTAGCTGTTATTCCACAGGAACACCCACAAAACTGAGGCAGTGGATGGTGCAGAGCTTGCATGTCTTCCTCACTGCCTGCCTTACAGATCCAATTCTGTGAGGACATGGGTGGAGCATCTGGGCTGCTTAACTGCTGTGTGGGGCAAGCCCTATACTCTTGTCTGGGCCCGTGCATTCTTGGCTTGCTGCAAGTGCTGATATAACTTACTGTAACTTGGAATCATAATCATTGAGTTCCAAGGAGGGAGGCAGTTGGTCAGCAGGAGATACATTTTGGCATGGAGACTGAGACTACACTGGGTAGATTCTAGTTTTTAATTGTTATTATTAATATAAGGTATCAAATTAATTTAATCATGAATCTGAGGTCTACAGAACTTATAATTCTGTGCTCTCTAAATGTGAAAGCTTTGATAAAATGCTTCCACATTTTGATAAAATAAGATGTGGATATCGTTGTGGGTCTGGTGTGGTGTCTGATGTTGGTGCAGATTATTTTAAAATTATGAAGGATGCTATGAGAAACCTTTCATCTCAGTGGGTTCTGTCTTTAGCAGCCACCTGCTCATCCTGTGTCATGAAGTTCTTTTACTCTTCTACCAACCAAGTAAGCTAGTCTGTTGGTTTGGAGTTGAGTAACTGACCTTTGGAACTTTTGAAACAAATCTAAATTAATTCTGAATCACCCAAAGATTATGATTTATGTACAGTTTTAAAATAAATATGGCCCTTTTGTAACAAACTGTTTCTTGTTTTTACTTATGACTGCTGATTGTCTATGGTTGTGAAGGAAGAAACACAGCTGGGATGCTAAGAAATTCCATTCTGACCATCCTCCACTACCTCCCTGGCCTCATCCTTCTGCAATTATTCCGATAGGAAATGGCTTCTGAACCCATGCAAATATTTAAAGTTTAAATCCAGAAGTCCTCTGTTAATCCTACTAAGGAAGATGGAAACTTGACCAGTATTTGGAGATGAGAGGTTCTTAGATCACAGGGGGCTTGCCTTTGTGAGATGATGGGTTATAAAAGCCTGAGTTAGATCTAGTCTCTTATTCCCCATGCTTACTGGTTAATCAGAAAACCACTTATCTACATATGCACTGCCAATACTGTGCTCACCAGATTGTCACACCAGTGAGGACTACTGAATCTTGGGCGGTGAGCCTCTAAAACCATTAGCTAAGATCAACCTTTCTTCATAAGTTGTTTGGATCCAGTGTTTCCCTGTAGTGCTGGATGGAACTAATGCACCTTTCTCTTCCATACTGCTGGAAAAAGAAGGAGTACTTATTTAGATGGAGAATAATTGAAATGTCAACTGTTTTATTGATTTTTCTTCTTTTTACTCTTGCATGGGTTCAAATAACTAAGTGGTTATTCACTCAATACCTCAGGGAAGGGATGCAATAGGGCAGAAAGCAGAATGAAAGGAAGGACCTTGCTTCAGCCAAAATATTGGGATAAAAAAAATCCCAGAAGAGGATCAGAAGTTAGAGGATAGAAGATCCCTGTTCCTTATAAATCCCCCACTCCACGGATATAGCTTGAGTGTGTCCTAACCCCTAATACCTTGGATGGTGGCCTCACTACAGATATGAGTTCAAACTAGTTCTAATCCAATGTGGCTGTGGTCCTTACATAAACAAGAAACTTGGAAATATATACTCACAAGGAAAACATCATAGAAGGATGAAGGCTGGAATCTGAGAGATGCTTTTGCAAGCCCAGGAATGCCAAAGGATTGCCAACAAACTATCAGAAGGTAGGGCAAGGCATGGAACAAACTTAATAGCACTCAGAAGCAAAGTTACTCTACCGATATCTCAATCCCAGAACTGTGAGATAATGAGCTTCTGTTGTTTAAGTTGTGTAGTTTGAAGTGCTTTTGTGGTTTGCTATCCTAACAAGCTAATGTGCTGCCCTCCCCATACCCCACATCTCTTACTCCTTGCCTTTGTAACTCTCCAATATTGGAGTTCCCCAGTTATGTCTGCTTAAAGCCTGGGAGCCTGATTCCTGACCAGAAATATAGCTGACCTGCAAATCCTCAGACCCTGAGGATTCCTGTGACTTGCATTCTGGGCAGATGGGACACTCGGGATTGTCTTCCTGATGACATAATGAACAAGGGACATCTCATTCAGGTGCTGAGTGGCCAGCGTACACTGTCGACCATCTCCTCAATCCTGCAGCCATGCCTTAGCCTTTTGAACTCTCTGGAGTTCAGATGTGTGAAACTAGTCTTAGTCTCAAACTAAGGCTGAGTTTATCTGAATCCTAGTGGAAGGGTTGCTGAAAGCACTACTTGGAGAAACACAGATTGCAGTTACTTTGGGTACTGTGATTTGTGCTTGTTGAATTCACAGGATCCTCCATCTGTGTAAGGTTATTTCTGCTGGTGAACTGGATATACCAGGCCCCACCACTGAAGTCTAGGCAAAGATTCCTATAGTCACTTGGTACTGCTCTTGTTGCCTCCCACTCATTCTGGTGTCTACATCATGTTTAACATGTTCATTAGGGGTAGGGAAGTTTGGGATGCTGGCTCCTTGGAAGATTGGAAGGAGAGTGAGCCAGAAAGGAAAAGACCAATATAGAGAAAAGTGTCTAACATGCTCCCCACAACCCCACCCTTCACCACCAGCAGGGCTATCTTCACCGGCAGATCCCATCTCTCAGCGTCTTAGGAGGATGCTTTGGCTTGGCAATGTGTTGATCCCACCTATGTACCCAGCTCCCTAGACTACAAGCATGATGTAGAGACAGGATGTATTGGGACCTGGTGACTGTATCTCTATCTTAACACACCAGTTTCTTGTCCTCCCTGTGGCCTTGATTTCTACTTTCCTTCTTGTCGACTTCTTTGGGAAGTCTTTTAGGACAGGTTTTCATATGATCGAGTGTACGTTGTGGATCCAAGGAGTAGGAATCCTGAAACCTCATTCTTTAGTGCTGGGACAATTTAAAGATAATGGGATATCTGTGGCACAAAGAGGAGATGGGCTTGCCAGTATCCCTAACATTTCATCATCAGATGCTGGAAGCCTCCAGCATTTCTGGAAAGCAAGTTGACCATGAGAAGAGGGATTTTCTTCAATCCAGTGAATGCACATTGAATTTATCCCTGGAAGGCAGGAATTAAGACCCACAACACTTCATCACAGAAGGACAAACCTGTCTGAGTGTGTGACTGCTACAATGCTAACATGAGAGAAGAGTGATGTCATTTTCTAGAATGCTAAGCCTGGATAATGCTGCTATAACTAGGCACACATTCATAACTGCCTGAAAGAAGAATGCTAGGCAAACAGGGAGAGATGTGCTAATACAAGACAAACTGTGATATAAGCATAGAGGAAAAAGACTGGTTCTTAGTAAGAGTCTTGGGGTTGAGTGGGATTTTCCCTTTTTTCTTTATGTAAAATGCTTTCTGTGATATGAAAGTAATACGTATTCATCATCAAAAGAGCACAAAATTAGGAAGAGGGATAAAATGCCCATTTCCATATCCCACATTCCAAAGATAGTATCTACTAGAAATTTCTTTTTCTAGTTTTTAGCAAGTTCCATTGTTGTTGGGGGAGGGGGTTAACAATATAGATTGCAGAGTGCCCTTCTGAGGACATGCACACGAGGAGGCAGGGCCTGGGCACCAGCTGTCACCTGAGGCCGAGCTTTGAGCAAGAAGCTCTCAGAGAACCTCCTGCCTGCCTCCCACAGCCATCTACTCTGGGTTCATACTCTCAGTCACCCCTTGCCAGTGACCCTCGACCCTAAAGAAATGTCCTATAAGATCAAGTGCTATTTCCTCACAGCACAACTCTTCTCATCATTCACTTGTCATGTGTTTCCTTGGCCACCAGGAGCCCTTTGCAGGTTGCTGTTGCTGACAGACCCTAATGGAGGCCACACTGTGGTTGGAGTGGATGGAGAAGGGGGACTCAATTCATGACTCCATGATGTGGCTTTTATGAATAGTGTGCTAGTGAACATGGGAGTACAGACATTTCTTCAACCACCTAATTTCAAATCTTATGGGAAAATGCATGGAAGATTGCTGGATCGTATGATAGTTATTTGTTGAGAAATATTCACATGGTTTTCTACTCATGTCTGCACTAATATATGCTCCCACCATTAGTTTACAAGAGTTCCCTTTTCCCACATCCTTCCCAATATTTATATTTTTTAAAAAGATTTATTTATTTTTATTGGAAGGGCAGCTATACAGAGAAACAGTGATGCACAGAGAAGGAGATACAGAAAGATCTTTCATCCCCTGGTTCACTCCCCAAGTGGCCACAATACCTGGAGCTGAGCCAATCCAAAACCAGGAGACTCCCACATGGGTGCAGGGTCCCAAGGCTTTGGGCCATCTTCTACTGCTTTCCCAGGTGACAAGCAGGGAGCTGGATGGGAAGTGGAGCATCTGGGATACTAACTGGTGCCCATATGGTGCATGCAAGGTTAGGATGGTACTTCATCATGGTTTTAGTTTATATTTCCCTAATGATTTGCAATGTTTAGTGTTTGCTTATGTATTTGTTATGTATTTGTTTGCTATTTGCATGTCTTCTCTTTGGAAGTGTCTATTCAGGTTTCTTGTTTTATCTTCTCATTATTCAATCAACTGAGCTTTTGTATATTTTAGATTTTAATCCATTATCAGTGTATGGCTTGCAAATGTTTTCTCCTAATACATAGCTTGTTTCTGTAATTAGTCATTGCTTCCTTGCTTGTGCAGAAGCATGTTAGTTTAACGTTATCCCATTTTCTATTTTTGGTTCTGTTGCCTGTGTTTTTGGTGTCAAAATCAACAAATCACTGTTCAGACCAACGTCAGACAATTTTCCTAAGAGATTTCTCTTTGTGGTTTTAGAGTTTCTGCTTTTATGCTTACATCTTTAGCTAGCTTTGAGTTGGTTTTTGTATATGGTATGAGATAAGGAACACTTTCATTCTTCTACATGTGGGTATTGAATTTTCCCAGCATTTCTTATTAAGTAGAATATCCTTTATTGTGTGCTCTTTGTCAAAAATCAACTGACCATGTATATGTGAATTAGTGTCTGCGCTTTATTCTACTGCATTGGTGTATTCATTTGTTCACCAGTAACGTGCTGTTTCAGTTACAATGTTTGTAGTAGAGTTGGGGGCCCAGTATCATTGCATAGCAGTTGAAGTCCTCACCTTGAATACACCAGAATCCCATATGGGCACTGTTTCTAATCCTGGCAACCCAGCTTCCCATCCAGCTTCCTATTTGTGACCTGGGAAAGCAACTGAGGATGGCTCACAATCCTTGGCACCCTGCACCTGCGTGGGAGACCTGGAGAAAGTTCCTGGTTCCTGGCTTCCGATTGGTTCAGCTCCAGCCTTTGCGGCCATTTGGGGAGTGAATCAACAGATGGAAGATCTTCTTCCTCTCTGTATCTCTCACTTGCCAATAAAAATAAATAACAAAATTAAAAAAAAAATGTTTGTAGTAGAGTTGGAAATCAGAGCACATATTACTTCCTCCATTTTCTCTATTTTTGTCCACAACTGATATTTGGTATTTTTTTGTGTGATGCAATATGAACATAATATTACCTTTTATATTTCTATGAAAATGACCTTGGAATTTTGACAGAGAACATGTTGTATCTGTTCATTTCTTAAGATATTAGGGACATTTTAAACTATATTAATTCTTCCAATTCGTTGAACATGGGTTATCTTTCCATATATTTC